GCAAGGTTGTCCATAGTCATATTCAGTGAGTATGGTATGCAGTAGATGGAAGCAGGCGTAATTGACAGGTGGGTCTTAGATAAAGGAAAATCATTCACTGGAGGGGCAGCGAGGGAGGCGTTTTAACTGTTGTTTCCTGAACAAAGGTGTTTTTGCATCATTTCAGGTTGCTATGAATATCTTAAACAGTGGAAGATTTAGCATGGGCAGTGCATCTGCTGGAATGCTTAAGAAATTGATTGGTAAGACTAAACTTTTTATATTGCTGGTTGGGATGAAATTACTGCATCATTTCTGCTTCTACAGAAATGGTTTAAGCTATGTCATGGTACAATCTATTCTGTAACATTGACTTTCCACTAGAGTGAGGGTTGATTTAGCCATGGTTTTTTTTTCTTGTAGGTATTGGAATAAAGAATGGCTGGGAAATACCCTGCAGCCACCTTGCCAATGCCTGATCTATGCTTCTCTTCCACTAGTCTGCCTTTCAGACTGCGTGTTGAATTTAGCACCGAATTTACCCAACATAGCTAGGCCAACATTAAAAAACCACTTAATTGAGGAGGAATGAGAAAACACAGGAGCAAAACACAATCCCAATTCTCAAGAGCACACAAACACTACATACTGACTGAAAACAAAACTAACCCTATTCTACACTACCTAGGTAATGGGTCTCCCAAGAGGAAAAGTCCAGCTAAGTCAGCCAGAAAACACTTGTCTGGAGTGAGGCAATAGACCATCTCAGGAACTTTATTCTGAGCATCCACTCCAGTAACACGATGATATCTAGCAGCCAGTACTAGGAGAGCCTGCCCTCTCCCAAGCCATTTGCTGCCAAAGCCTCTATCCCAGCTGCAGGTAATCAAGTGCCAAAAGGTTAAAGCAATAAAACCTGTCTGGTTGTCCTTAAGACCAAACCCAACTGTCTTTCCCAGCTCTTGCCTGCCCCACCAGGGCCTAATAGAAGAAACGTTTGGCCAGCTGTGTTAACTCTTGAGCTTCTACCCTGAACCCTTTTCACAATTGGTCTCTCTTTAAAGTCCATTCCCCACAGGAGCTGGTGTTCTGAAGTGCTGAGAATAGCCAGTCCAGGTTGAAATTCACAATCAGTCCTGAAGCTTGTTAAGTCACCCCAAAATTTTACAGTCGTGTTAAGGATTGTAGTTAGAAAAGGAATAAGGTCTGCTGATCTGGGGGGGGGGGGGGGGGGGGGGGGAAGGTGGGTAAAAAAAAGAATAGCACGTTATAACTTCTTGAGGGAGAAATTAGCTTTATGCATAAGACACACAAGCCATGGAAAGTAATTTGACTGAGACAAATAAGCATGTTTTATAAGGTACATTGCCCTGGAGAGCCTACTTTCCCCTGTATCTGGGATAATGTATTTTGGAAGTAAGAGAAATATCTTAGAATAAAAAAACTAGGAGACCCTTGTTCTTAGTTGCGAAGTCATGTCCAACCCCTCGCAACCCCATGGGCAACATTCCTCCAGGCCTTCCTGTCCTCCACCATCCCCCGGAGTCCACTTAAGCTCACACCAACTGCTTCAGTGACTCCATCTAGCCACCCCATCCTCTGCCGTCCCCTTCTTCTTTTGCCATCTATTGTTCCCAGCATTAGGCTCTTCTCCAGGGAGTCTTTTCTTCTCATTAGGTGGCCAAAGTATTTGAGTTTCATCTTCAGGATCTGGCCTTCTAAAGAGCAGTCAGGGTTGATCTCTAGGACTGACCAGTTTGATTGTCTTGCAGTCCAAGGGACTTGCAGGAGTCTTCTCCAGCACCCTATTGGCTAATATTTTCTGGTGTACTGGTGTGAGAGTAGCACAAGTTGATGCAACAGGCATTATCTGTATCTGTCATAGTAGGAGTTGTAGCTTTATATTCAAAACCTACATTTTAGCTCATTGCAATAGTGCTAAAAGGTCTTGATTATATACAGAAGTTAAATATTCAAGAAATTGTCATTTTCAAAATCAGTCTTAATACATACAGGTGCATACAAGAATATAGTTTGCCTGGTGCTGACTCTGTATTCCTTTCGGTGCCAGGTGAAAACCTTTTTATTTGCCCATCATTTTAATTGTTAAAAATCAGGTTTTAACTACACAGTCACTTTTTGGTTTTGGTTTTGTTTTTATTCTTGATTTTGTTTTGATTTTCTTTCATTTGTGAATTGTTCCTGGTTTTGTGTGTGCATTTAATTATCGTTAACTTGTTAAATTATCTGTTTTTGATTTTTGTAAGTCACCATGAGACGCTTTTGTGTATAGGGTGGGGTATAAATATTTTAAATAAAATGCAGCCTAAATATCTGTCTTTCCCCTAATTTTTTACAGAAATGACTGCAGAATATGCTTGTACAAGAAAACAGTTTAATAAGAAGCTGAGCGAATTTGGATTAATTCAGGTAACTAAAACATGCATGGCTTTGACCTGTTATTTTGAGGAACGTAGATGAAAAACCTTGAGCAGTTTAGCATAGTGTCTTCGATACCAATTTAAAATGTAATGCCTAGGTAAATGGTGGTGGTCATGAAAAACAAGGACTGATTATGTATTAGGTTAGGAAGAATTGTGCACACCGAGTGTGAACATCTTACATTTGGGTCAGTAAATTATTTATGTCAATATATGATGATTTTACTGGATGAGATTGTTGTAGAATACTTCAGTTATGCACGGCATCTCTTTTGCTCCTTTCTTAAGGAAAAATTTGCTCTTATGGCACGGACAGCATATGTAATGGAGAGCATGGCCTACCTCACTGCAGGAATGATGGACAGGCCAGGCCTCCCAGATTGCTCAGTTGAAGCAGCCATCGTTAAAGTAAGCTTTATTGAAGTGTTGGTTTGAAGTGACAAGTACCTGTACTAAAGTTCAAAGAAAAAATTGATTGTGATCTTCAGTCAGAGGATCAAGAGATGAGCTTACTTCCCCATCTCTGTTGTGTTTGATCTGATTGAATTTCTTTTAAAACCTATGACAGCTTATGTAGCCTGTCAGTTTCCAGAGCTACTTTACTAAACAGCAAGACCTATACCAGTAATCAAGGTAATTTAGAGAATGCTACTTGCTGTATGTGTTCTGCTTATAGGTGGATCAGGGAGATAGCAGGCTTAGGAAGTCCTCAGAGTTTGCTGAAGTGCATCCAAATTCTTTTAAGAGGAGAAAAACAAAGGAAAAAATACTCCAAGGTGTTCAAAGAGGCTCAGTGGGCAAAAATGCTGGCAGACTGGCTGACGGGTGACGGGAGAGCTCACTGGGACCCTGGACAGGCACACTCCACACCACAATGTTGCAGGACCCCTTCGTATCTACTCTGAAAATGAACTACAGTGGTACCTTGGCTCACAAACTTAATCCATTCCATGACTCTGGTTGTGACCCAGATTGGTTGTGACCCAAGTCAAATGTCCCCATAAAATTCAATGTAAATAAGGTTAATCCATTCTGGCCCCTCTGAATGTGGTTGAGAGCCAATTTTTGGTAACGAGCCAAGTCAAATTTTCCCATAAGGTTCAATGTAAACAAGGTTAATCGGTTCTGTAACTATTTTTTTAAATCAGAAAAACTTGAAACAAAGTGACAACAAAGTAACAACAACAAAGTAACAAAGTACTGTACAGTACAGTGGAGAACACTAACCTAGGTGGGGGGGAGGTTATTGCTTTGAGGAAGAGTTCCCCTCCATAAGGAGAGCCAGTGTGATGCAGTGGTTCAGAGCATGGGACTGGGACTCAGACAGTTTGGGTTCTAGTCCCCGCTCGGCCATGGAGCCAACTGGGTGACTTTGGGCCAGTCACAGACTCTCAGCCCAACCTACCTCACAGGGTTGTTGTGAGGATAAGATGGCAGAGGAGATGTAAGCTGCCTTGAGCCCTTTGTAGGAAAAAGGCAGGATATAAATCGAAAAATGAATGAATGAATGAATGAATGATACTGGGGAGATCTCTTTCAGGGGTTTCCTCTTGTCTCTTAGCTGCAGGGTCAATTTTGGTGAAAAATCTGTCTATAGTCACTTGTTTTTTCCTGTGCTGCATAACCCTCCGGAAATGAGAGACCACATTATCGTTCATCAGATTCAACACTCTGTTCGTTACAGTTATGTTGGGGTGGTGCTTCTCAAAGAAATCCTGGCACTCATTCCATTTTTTCATAATGGATTGTATCACTGCTAACCTCCTCC